CATATTGTAAAGCAAAAGGATACTACTTACTTGGTTTTAAACATGGTCTTGCGAAGTCCTAGCCTGACCTTACATACTCGCTCGCAATGGTCGAAAGAAATTCATTGTCTTTAACTTGTGCTCGAAAGGGCTTTTCGTGCGCTATGGATTCTTTAACGCAACTCGTGCTTTAAGATGAGTCTATTTTGCCATTTCAATTGCTTAGAAAGAAGTTTGATCTTAGATTGAATAAGAGATGTACGTAACACTAATGCATTTTAGCGTTGATCGAATATCGGTGAGGAAAAGATGATACGAGCGAAGGTTCGTGTTCGTTTATAAAGGGGAGAAAAATATCTACTTATATAAATAAATTTTAGACAAGAAAAAATTACATAGTTACAAAAATATAATTAGAATTAATAAATTAATCTTAAAAAATTCAAACTTTTTGACAAAAAAGAAAAAAACAAAAAAAAGGGTAAAATAGGAATTACATAAGAAATGAAGGGCATAAAAGGAATATCATTTTTTTTTTACGAACTTGTGGGCCGGCCCATAGTTCCTCTAAATTAGTGGCTTCCTTTTTTATTATTAATATGTGTGCTCAATAAATTATTAAAAAAAAAAATTATAATTTTTTTTTCCTTTTAAAATTTAAATGTCCCACCCAAGTGCCCCACAAATGTAGGGGTCCCTACATCTTTGCTTTTTAATTTTCTTTATTTGGTTTCTTGAAACATATGAAGGGTCATGTGATTGCCTTATATTGTTTATTTTATTTTTCCAATCAATTATATATATTATATATAACGACATTATCTTTCAATTCTTTTAAATAATTTTCTAACAGTATTTTGTACGATAACGATTCAATCTAGCCCAATTAGCCATTGGGAGGAGCTACCCTAGTACAAAATACCGCCGCTTATAATCCAGCTAAAGAAACAGTGAAGAACAAATGATCGCTAGATTAAGCTACATTGAAACATAATACACTAGTCATAAGAATAGAGAATCTCATAGGTGTAGCCTATCATAGGTATATAATTTATCTCGAATTCTAACCAAGTAATAAAGAGTGCTTAGAGATATTACCCACAAAGCCTATACCGAGTAACGATGGTCGTTGATGACTCAAAAAATCCTATCATCGCTAGGACGAATAAAGCGTGTCAAACTAGAAAATTCTAGCAAAGGCCAACGTTAAAACAAAAATTGAGATAGAGACATGAATATAATTGGTAGCATCATCGATAACCCTATCGCTATACCGAAAAATGATGAGAATTTTCATGCCCCACATTTCTTAGGAGGGTTATTTTGGTCAATTGGAAGAAAAATAAAAAACAAACTACATATATAATGGCAGTTGAGTAATTAAAGTGAAAAATGAGGGGTAAATAAAAGGTGAAAGGGACATCCATGAATAAATAAGGCTCCAAGAGCATTAGGAGTTGATATAGGGTGTGGATGTAGGTCGGGTTCTGTAGTGACGTGATGTGATTACGTCATCTTTCCAGGGCTGTCGTCATCCTTGATTGTTCTTTTTGCTCTTTTTTTTTTTTCTCTCACATTTTACATTACTTTAATTAGTGAATTTTAAAAAATAATTATTTATTTTGGTTTTTCTTTTCATTTCTGAATTAAAAAAAAAAAATAGAATTCCACTTTATGCTTGTGATGTGATGTAATAAAAAAAAAATCTTTTTTGTACTAATATTTGAAAAGAAATATATTGAAAAAGGTAATAAAGTTCTAGAAAATAAACCATAGTTTATTCTTCAACCATTTTATGTCACGTGGACTCGTTAGAATAACCTAATCAACCCAATCTAATTCATAAAGTTTGGGTCGGAAAATAAATGAAGATTTTATGAATTGAGTTGTTTTAAAACAAAATTGAGTCGAACAGAACCAATGTGAATTTATTATTAATTTTAAAATATATATTTTCGTTACGATAGTTATATACTAAAAAAGAGTGTGTGTGAATTGAATAATTATTGGTGGGGGAGAAGGTGTTGGAGGGCTTGTCGAGTTGGTAGCTGCCTTTGCATTTAATATCAACAAAAATCAGACAACCAAATCCCATTTGGATTTCCCTTTCATTTATTATAAACCCTAAGCCTTTCCTTCTACTTCTTCAAATTTTTCATTCATTTCCAAGACGCGTTTGAATTAGAGCTATCTCAAAGATGGGGATGAACAATAAGTTACTATTTGTATTAATAAGGTGTATCTTTCGATTGCTCAATCATAACTGTTAGATGAACACAACTTTTCATAATGGTTTGATATTGTCCACTTTGAGTATAAACTCTCATGGCTTTGCTTTAAGCTTCTTCAAAAGACCTCACATCTATGGAGAGACTATTCTTTGATTATAAACTCATGATCATTCCCTAAATTAGTCAGACTTTTATCATCCAACCATAACAACTTTATGGTCAATTTTCCTGGTATGCATGTGAACGAGGACAAAAATGTTGGAAGGACTCATATTGGTCTGTGGGGATTGTCTTCACTCTTAAAAGTGAGGAGTGAGTAACGTGATCATGTTACAAATGGATGCCAAGAATGTTGGAGGCCATCAAATGCCAAATTTGCTTGAATTTTAAAACAAAAATAGTTTTTATAAACTTTTTAAAAATTAGTTTTTTTTTTTTAATTTTCAAAATTTGGCTTTATTTAATAAAATTATGGAATAAAATAAGGAAACTATTTATAAATTTATTTTTCAAAAATAAAAAACCAAATTCTAAAAGCTATTTTTAGTCTTCATAATTTAGTTTGGTTTTATATTAAAAAGAAAAAAAGAAAAAAAAAAGAAAAGAACGTAGATAAAATATTGTATTTATAAGCTTAAAGAAATTTAAAATAGATAATTAAATGATTATTTAAAAATATTTACCTTCACCAATATTCCATCTATAAAAATAAAATATAAATAAAGAACAAATTATATGTAATAATAATGGTGGTTACAAAAGTCAGGCGATCTTATTGGTTTGTGGTCAACGAGGAATTAAAAGTTTTTTTGAGAACCAAACTTCCATTTTGCCTTTGATGAGGTGGTAACGTTGCATTTGTAGGCGTTACGCGAATGTGGGGGACGATTAAAATCACTGCATCAGATGCTCGCCACGTGGCCTTCTATTTATCCAAAAAAAAATATATTGTTTTTTTTTTTCCTTTTTCTTTTTTCTCCTTTTGGTAGGCGTCTGGTAGAAGAAGAATCCCAAGACCACGTGGGTGACCCAGGTAGCACTGACAGTACTGTGACAGCCCCAAATTACATAGCGCCTCCCGACTCTGATTGGACTGTCACCCAGCATGGCTCAAATGTCTATGCCCGTTATTTTACACATTCGTCACCAACCATCTGATCTTAATCTGATGGTCTGTGATCAACGCTATTGTGGGACCACCTTTTGGTTTCATCCCATTGGCATTTTTGTGAGCTGATCTATGGATACTTCGTCCTTGACCCTTGGATTGACACTCGACTAGTTCTGTACTTTCTCTTACTATTTCATCTTCTTTTTTTAATAAATAATAAAAATATTAATTTTATTTTTAAAATATATTCTTTATAGAAATTTATCATATATATATATAAAAAAAGACCTGTAATTCAGTTCTTTTAAGCATTTTTAGCCATAAAGTTCTATGCCTGCACGTTTTCAAAAATTCTCTTATTTCAACGTAGGGTCGTTTCATTTACCTATCTTTCTTCTTAGTTGCTTGCCAATAACCGCTCCTTATCTTGAGAGATTCTCGTGTACTTTGATGCCATTCATGATTAAAGAATTGGATTCAATAGTTCTAATCCACGACCAATGAACTCATCACTTTACTCCGTTCTTGTTATTTTGTGGGCTCAAGTCGATAATGTTAATTAGATAGCCAGAGATTGAAACGAGACTATCGATTAAAAAAAAAAATTATATTTTTGTTGGAAATATTATTATTTTCGAGAGAAAAGTTTTAAACTTTGATTGATATATGACGTTATTGGTACTGAACCTCTTTATAATTACTCCGCAAAATTCTCCCATGGTGGTGAGTTGAGATGACAAGATCTTGTGTGCCAAAGTGATGGATCAAAGGGTGGCCTTCAATGGGGTAAGAAGGAAGACATGTCCTTCAATGATCAATAAGGAAGCCTTTACGAGCAAGCCCATGGTCCCATAACTAAAAGACCGCATATAGTTCGATTACAAGGAGGTTGGAGGTGATATTTACTATAACAAGTCGAGAAGAACGGGTAAAGAAAAGTTTACTAAAAAAATCAATAACTTGATTGTTGAAAGCGATCGTGTATGTGAAATAAGATTGCTAGCCATTGAAATAGTAGAAATGTGGTCATGTCTCGACTGAGGTGGCTAGTAAGAAAACTCGAGGATCACAAAGCAACTTTTGTAGTTAGTAAAGATAAGTACTCAACTTCCGTAGCAAATTTTCTTGAATCAAGAAATAAAGTCAGACATACTCTCCCACACCGACCTCGACAACAAACCCTAAATTTGAATTTTATATATATATAAAAAAAAGAAACTCGAGCTTCATCGTAAAAGCAAGTTCAAATTGCTAAATTCTTCCTAACAGTGTCATTTTCTCTCAATCTTAGGGCGGTCGGATCGAGTATCTGTTTAGACATTAATTCGAAAGATGTATTAGAGCGTGAATTATTTAGAAAAATTTAATAAAAATTATGAGGATAAAATTATAATTTTAAAAAATAATCCAAAACTTGCACATCGATTAATGCCATTTTGGTAAATACTCGGAAGTCGCAGTGGCATTTATTGTAACCGGCAGGCGACTATGCTGTGGACCGACACTGCAAATTTTTGGGCGGATGTATACGTATAACTCATCGTCATGTAAATAAATATATATTATTTTAATCCTGCCGTTAAATATAACGGCTAATTCAACACTTTTTGGAACGTCTCTAGAAAACAGTTACCCGCGCTCTTACCGTTAAAAGCTAGACGGCGAGATTTCTGCTTTTTCACAATCATTGTTCTTCAAAACCTCTCTCCACCAGTCCCTATTTGTCCCCCTAAGTCCCCCGCCGGAATTCCTCACCAGGCGCTTCCCGCCACCGTCGCCAGAACGCCTAAATTTCTCCATTGAACTAACTTTTGTAACTATCTTTCCTTAGCAGTCGTTTATACTTGCAACGAGAATAAGAAGAGCCAGTAGTGGAAATTGAAGAAGAAGAGAAGAAGAAGAAGAAGAAGAAGAAGAAGAAGAAGAAGAAGAAGAAGAAGACGATCTGCTTTCCGTTAGGTTTTGTTTTCTTGCTTTCGTATAGTGTAATGACGATGAGATTTGTAGTTTAGTTTTGTTTTTTTTTTTTGTTGTCTGTGGCGAAACGCGAAAGTAGTTTTGATTTGTTCTTCGTTTTTTCGTCTGAATTGTTGAAGCGGAAGATGAATGTGCGTGCGTGTGTGTGTATTTAATTTTTTCGTTTTTTTTTTTTTTTTTTTTTTTTTTTTTTTTTTTTTTTTTTTTTTTTTTTTTTTTTTTTTT